TCCAGAGGAAACAACAAAGGCTGGAGGAGCAGCACCTGAAGAGGAGCGGGGGTCAAAGAGCAAAGGGCAACAAGAGGGTCAAGAAGGAAACTGAGTCGGTGACTCAGCCATTTGCCTGAAGACACTTGAAGAACATTTATTTCCTTGTTTTGATGCATTGATAAAATGTGTGAGCTTCACCACACAGGCCCGATGAGGGGTTCTTATGTTTGACTCAAATTTCTCTTATTTTTAAAGAAGAATGTTGTAGAAACATTATCATTAAAGTCTGCCCTATGTTTCCACCATCACCAGTGAAGGAAGCATGCTGTTCACGGAACCATATGCACTCACACTGTCTTCGGGTTAGAGTTGCTCTCTGTTCACATTTCTGATTGCATGCGATTGCAGTGTGTGTTAGCAGCAGCTGAGGAAGTGACTACTAAACTTCCTCAGAGTTTTTCCAGAGCAGGATTCTGACGTGTAGGAAAAGCTGAGTGAGTTATGAGAATGAATGAAACAGGAAAATGTGTTCCACAGCTTAAAAAGAATATGAGACTAGGATTTAATTAAACACTCTGGGCTTCACGGCCTCTCAGCAATAAATTGAAGTAATCATTTTCTCAATGACTGTTTCATATAATTGTGAAGGAAATTGGGCCTCTTCTGTTTTACATGGTTTATGCATAGCTGTCCTGACACTGTAGGGTTGAGGCCTGGAGTTTGAGTTACTGCAACACCTCCTTTCCCAGGTCAGGCGGCGAGAAAAGAAGCTCACATCATTACCTGTGCACCACAGTGCAGACAGCTGCTGAGATGCTTTTTGCTCTTGTGCTGTGTGTGTTTTGGGTTTTTTTTGGTCAAATAATTTATTCTCTATCACATCGAGACTCTCTCTCCACTCCGTTACATATTCCATATGTACAGGGAATGATCCCCATTGGTTGGATGTGTAGATACTTCTTTAAGACACTCTGCCTAGCCTGCCCACTCCCCACAGCACACGTATAAAGCAGCTGCGCAGACATGAAACCACCTGTGCAGTGTGTCCGTGTACTTCATGTACATGTACATAAGACTTAAATCAACTCAGAGTGGATGGTTAGTTATGTGTGTGTGTGTATATATTTAGATTATACGGGACCTCATATGGGTATTCTGCTATTGATACATCATTACGTTTACATATCCACTGGTACGTAGCCCACATGTATTATCACAGCAGGGCTGCTGTAAATCAAATGAGCTGATGTCAGTACTTCACAGTTGGTCAGAAAGATTCGTCACATTCCCAGGGCTTCATCACACCATCAAAGGTACCCACACTGTCACCACACCCCCCACAGACTTGTGTTGTACCACACATTGTACAACACAAGATATGATCGATGTGATAGACCTGGGCCCTGTTTCAGGAAGCCGGTTTAGAAAACTCAGAGTGAAAAACGATACGCAGGGTTGAGTAACCCCAAACTGTCCAACTCGGAATATTCCGTTTCAGAAAGGCTGATAACAATTAGTTCAGTCAACTGCTTTAACCCCAAGTGAAGCGCGCGGACGAGGGTACATAAAGCCCTGATAAGCGGAGCACAGATTAAGCGAGTCACCATGGAGACGGAGGGAAAGAAGGCGCGGTCAATGTATCTTACAGCGCTTGAGGCCGAAATTCTGATGGCAGCATATGCCGATAACATGCAAATTCCGCGGAAAAAAGTAAAGTTAGCCACAGCTGCAAAAGAAAGTGAGCATGCATGGCAAAACATAGCCGACAGAGTCAATGCGTGAGTGTTAATATAAACATTGATCGAGGGATTTCCACCCATTTAACACGTTATTTTATCATATGTTATTTTATTTGTTATTTTATACATTTTATTTTGTGACGTGATGTGAGCGCAGGTGCAACCCAACAGGCCCCAAACGTTCCTGGCAGCAAGTAAAAATGAAATATAAAAATATAGTCCAAACAGGTAAGGTGTAATTGTATTATGAGCCATAGTGCTTGGTCTGTTTGTCCCATGTAAATCAATTGCAGTTAGAGGCTACATTAATTTCCTTTCTGTAAGCACTTATTGAAATTATCTGAGCACATTACAAGTACATATTTGCTTACTCTGTATGCTCAAATGTGACCCATTATAGCCAACAGAAAAAAAGCGGAGGCCCGAAAAACAGGTGGGGGTCCTCCACCACCACCACTCACAGAGGCTGAGCAGTTGGCCCTCAGCCAAAACAGTGGGCGCCCTGTGGCCGAAGGCATCTCTGCGGGGACATCCTCTGAGTCAATAACCCCGCAAGACACAAGTGCCTACATAGGGGGTGAATTCAAAATAATACATGATGTGCATACATCCTTTCTTCACAGTCACCTTTGCAGTGCTGCTCATTCATTTGATAAACTCTTTACCATAATGGATTATTTTGTAGTGAAGTTATTTTCCGACTGATTTTGCCTTCCCTCAGTCTTGGTTGTCTTTGAGAGCATAATGACAATGAAGTGTAAGGTGATTGGTATGTTTGTTAATTGCCATTTGGTCCCTTGTAAGTCATAAGTGACCTGTATAAACCTCATATTCTATCAGTTGATGGTGATGGTGTACTGCATCTGGTGCAGCCTCCTGTTGAGCCAGACCAACATGCAGTTGTGAGTAATACTCCACAGATTATATGAGTTTACAGTAGAACAGCAATGTTGTCTATTTATTTACTACAGGGAAATAATGAAGAAACATTGACAGCTGTTACAGAGGAGGAAGCAACAGAGACACTTTATGAGGTTTACATCTTTTAATACTTTGTGTACAGGAAATACAGGCGACCAATAAAGCCAGTTGAACAAAAAATCTGTTTATTCTTCTTTCAACATGTTGAGGTGATGGGTCAAAAGAAATGATTGTGACATATGGTGTCTCTGACTGCACTTCCATCTTGTATGTCCGTGGGAGGGTCAGGATGTTCATGGTTTGGATCACTGCTGATGTTTGGTTCAGAAGGACAGTGTTCTCCTCTAATTGTGGCAATGTTGTGAAGAATCACACATGCCACAATAATGTCACATGCCCTTTCTGGGGTGACCCTGAGTCTTTGCAGGCACTGGAACCGGGCCTTAAGCATTCCGATAGTCATTTCAATTCTGGCTCTTGTCCTGCAATTAGCCAGATTATATCGCTGCTGTGGGCCCGGTTCAGGGTCAGGGTAAGGGGTAAGCAAATAGGGTAAACATGGATACCCCCTATCACCAAGCAAGTAGCCAGTGAACTCTCCTAAGACAGAAGGGTACACTTCAGTTCAAATGTCCCTGAAGCAATTGGTCTTTATATATTTTACAGTATTCTCAACTCACCATGTCCAAATTTTGTGCTCAGTGTACATTCACGGAATATTTGTGAGTCATGGACAGAGCCTGGCCACTTGGCTTCCACATTTGTGATAATGTTGGCAGCATCACATATGATCTTCACAGTGCAGAGAACACAAATTAGCATCCATTACTATGATGAAATAATTTGTTAGTTTGACATGCTACAGGGAACTATGTACCTGTACATTAATGCTGTGGAAAGACTTCCTGTTCACATAGTCTCCTTCATTTACTGAAGGAGCAATGATTGGAATGTGAGTGCCATCTGTATAGCCAATCACGCCTGGGAACCCTGAAAATAAATGTAATATTTAAGTAGTAGTTCAAGTATCACCACATCATAAATTAAGTTTTGGTCATCCTGCTACCTACAACTTTGTGGCATCCCTCTTTGATAAATCTTGTGGGTCTGTGACCGGGGAACACCACAAACGAGTACAGGAGACGTTTCAGTGCAACTGTAACATTCCTGACTGCCCGACAGACGGTAGCCTTGGAAACGTGCTCAGCGTCACCAATATTATACAGAAAGCTCCCGTTTGCAAAAAACCGAAGTGCAATACAAATAATATGCAATGAACTGAGAGCATGTCCACGATGTGTCACATGCGTAATATATGGCCTGAGGATGTTATCCAAATAAATTATAGATTGTGCTGAGAAACGGTAACGTTCACACAGAAAATCATCAGGAAATGATAAAATGTCCAAACGCGCTCTAATCACTCTCTCCCGGCGGAGAGCTCTGCGGAGAATTTGGGCTTCACGATCTACTGGCTCTTCAAGGAAGGGACACGCCATGTCTGACACTTCCTACTGTCAGGTTTCCGACAAAGGGGCGGAGACAGTCAGGGTTAGTTGTAGTAAACCTGCTAGGGGGCAGGTTAGCTTCACGGCGTGTGTCGTCATAGTGACTCACTCAGGCTTCATCTGAACTCGCTTTGTGAAACCGAAAACCCAGAGTTTTCGTTAACTCAGGGTATACTTACTCAGTTTTTCCACTAAACCGGCTTCCTGAAACAGGGCCCCGATCCAACGAGCGCAACAAAGCAAAGAGGTGAGGAGCCGATTCCTTTTGGGCCAGGAAAAGTTTGGGACAGCAGGCCAAACAGGCGTTTTAGCTAACCGCCCACCTCACTTACCCTGACGTCTGTGCCGCTTCCAGTGAGGTGAGCACGGAGGTTGGTAGAAAAAAGCTTTAGAACTGTCTGGTGATCATACATCGGTAGACACTTGACATTTTGCTTGACACACAACAACAAAAACAAAGTGGAGAGCAAAAGATGCAGCAGATGGCATGCCATACACACTGGCGCCACAATGACCCATGAAGTTAAGGAGGATATGCAGAGGGTGTGACAGAGGAGGATAGGGTAAGATGGATGCAGATGATCCAGTGAGAGGGAGCAATCACAAGAAGAATTAGGAAGCATTTCATTTCACTGCATTTCGTTAACTTTTGGCTTCTCCCTCTCTTGTATTTTGTCCTTGTCTATCTTTGCCCTCCTTTTTTCCTCTTCTCTTTTGCTGCCTTTCCATGACGAATAATTGGCTATTTTGTGTGAAAATAAAAGAAACAGTCTAGACAGAACTTTGCTATTAAGATTATACTTTTAATTTTTGTATAAAATAACAAAAGCCAATAAAAATATGTAAAAACAAACACAATACACAAATTATATCTAAATATTGTTCACTGAAGTAGTCTGTGGTATTCGAATGCTAGCATTCAGCTAAAACCACTCAATTCAGAGTCCCTCTGGTCCTCAAGTCCTGTAGCAGCTTAAGAAGCTGCTCTTAAACATCGGCCATCATCTTCCTGTGGCACACTGGAAACGACAACACCCTTCATGCTGCTCCATGTGAGGAGTGGACAGGGTGATGGAAGGTCTTACAGCTCCCAGTGGAACAACACATCTCATTATTCCACTGTACTTGTGCTCTGTGCTCACTGGTCCTGAAACACACGGATCACAAAGAAAGTGGTTCATGCATAGTCTGACTGAAACATTGCAGCAAACACTTGTGTTTGGTTCCTACCTTTTCAGAACTTTTCACTTCTCACCATCCATTGTTAAATTCTCACTTTTCTTTTTTTGCACCTGAAGGAAACACACTTTCTCAGTTACAAAGTACACTCAGGACCAATCGGATAAATTAAATGCAGCCGCATTTAAAAACACACACACTTGTAAAAATCATCCAACCTCGTTCACGGCATCATCAGTCTGTTTGAGCTCTTCGTACCGGTCTCTTGACTCTCTGAGTGGCTTTACCATCACCTCCTCAATCTGTGGGAACAGCTAACAGATGCACACACACACATGCAGTCAGTATTAAAGCTGCAAACGCCTCATTATTTTGTGTTTATGTAACTCTAAGAGTCAAAATGTGTGAAGTCAAGAGACAGTGTAACAGTGTATAACAATAAGCAGTCCATTTAGATCCTTAGCACAGACAGGTTTACACTTGTAAAATGTAACACTTTGGAATTTTAGCAGGAACTTCCTGGTTGGAATTTATAATTATTGCTTTGACAGTTTATGCATTATCCTCCATTTTATCATTATTGCTGATGTGTCACTGCTAAAGCACACATTTACGGTAACAGGTGCTTGAGGTGGAACTAGTTTAAACTGCTTTATATACTCATTCTTATAGGTGATCAAAAAGTTCTGCACCATCACCAAAAAAAAATCTATTTTGGCTAATCTCCCTTTAAGGCCATCTGCTACTGGACCTCTGCACCACTTCCTGTTCTCCCATTCTTGCACACTTACACAGAGAGCAAGTGTTAACTTCTCTGACTATAAAGGGTATAAAGGATACATTTACATGATGACTGAAACTAGCACCACTGGTGAACAATTCCTCGATTCTGGCGCAGTGTGATTTGGCGTTTGAAAGCCACAGAGACACCGTGTTTAGGGAAAATGTGTTTGTTATTGATCAATGGTCACTGATCAGTGGTCATGACAATTTGCATATTTATGATCAAGAAACTGACCTCACCAGTGGTTCTAGTTTCCAACTTTAACCAACTTTGACTTAAGAAGTCACTTGGATGAGTGATGAAATGTTTCTCCCACTGAAAACGTTGATTCTAGATGAACAGAATCAATGTTTTGGGATGATTTAGCATGCATCAAAACACTTCTCTGATTAGTGTTATTGGAGTTGGGTCTCCACTTACAATTCAGAGACCAAACATCAGTTTAAATAAAAGACATTATCGTATCTGAGGGAAATGTTGTTTGTTGTTTGAACAAGACGCTTGGTCAGAAAACACTCACTTTATCTAAGAAATTTAGTGTAACATCTGAGGAAGAACATACAGCACATACAGAACACCTGGGAAGTATTCACAGCGCTTCATTTAGTCCACATTTTTCATGTTAGGTCACTTCAAAATTTTAGACACAATCTTGTGCTCAGAGTTTGTTCCTGTGCTGCCGCGGTTAGTGCCCGTGCTATCTGTGCTGTCTTTCAGTCCAGCTTTGGTAAGATCTCTCAATGTCAGTCGCTTCTGTCAGTGGTCATACTGTCCTTCCATGATGGTTCCTCTCCTTGTTCCTCCTCTTTCTTGGGTTTCTGCTGCTTGAGGTATTCACTAAGCACATGTCAGTTGTTTCCATCTTCCCGATGTACTTATGGATGTTCGTTGTTTCATCGGTGGTTGGCCTCCTTCCTTTCGCTTAGCATACATTGCCGTCTATCTCCTTCTTTGGCCAGCTTATTATCCCAGCAGGGTATATATCCCAGCAGGGTATATATCCCAGCAGGGTATCTAATCACCGGCAGGGCATAGGTGTTGATTGCCCAGATCTTGTTTTTCCCATTCAGCTGCTCTTCAGGACTTGGCTGACCCTCTGCAGGTATTTGGTGGTTGCGGCCATCTCTTTTATATATATAAAGAGGATCCCAGATACCAACTACAGATCCCATTCTGTAGTTGGTATCTGTAGCCATTCTATTTGAATGAGTGGATTCAGACTTATGCAGAACAGAAGTGGGGAAAAAGCATCTCTTTTGGTAAATCCCACACTTGATGGCAACTTGTGCAATTGGCTTTAAGTCTGGCCTCCTTCCTTGTGCTCTTCCAATATTGCTCTATCTCCATCTCCAGCATTCCCTCTGTGTGGCCTCTAGTCTCCTTCTCCATGGAGGATACTGCTTCTTGTGGCTGTTCATCTTGTAGCCAAGCATCTGGACGAATCTTGCCATGATGTTGCCAATTCACTTGCTCACAGGAGATCATATCATTGTTAGGGTTTTCTCAGTTTTCTTTGTATTATTGCCAGCAGGCAATCGACCCAAGGCTCAGCCACCTCCATGGCCCTCACTTCATTGGAGATGTCACAACATTTGATAAGTACCATCTTCAGCTGCACACAACACAGGGTCAGAGGGTCGAGGCTACCATAAATGCTGATGTATCAAACCGCCTGTGAGACTCGGTTCATATCCACACCTTTTCTCATGATAACCTCCCCAAAGTGTGCAGCTTTGCTCTCAGGTCCAAAATTGAATTTCATTCTTAGCTGGGCTTGGATCTGCTGGCTTCCTGCCGAACAGTAACTCAAAGGGAGAAAATCCCATGGATGCCTGGTGAACCTCTCGCACTGAAAACAACAGAGGCTCTATCCAGTGATCCCAGTTGTGTTCATTCTTGTGAATGAACTTACGAATCATGGACCTTAAAGTCCTATTCAGTCGCTCCACTAAACCGTCGATCTAGGGTGGTAGACACTGGTCCGAACAGATTTAATGCCAGTTAATTTGTACAGTTCTTTTAGTGTGCGAGACAGGTTGTAGATGCATCCCCACACACTGACCCAATAGATTCTTAAACCCCGGCCAATCTGTCCCCAGAACTGAAGCCTTTACTCTATGTGTTTTGCCCTGAAACTTTATCTGCAGCCAGCGCCACCAGGGGATATTTGTGAATGTCTCCATGCACACACCTGACCTCCACCCACTCTGCGTCCAACAATGCCTGTGAAGCCCATTTCCACCAAAGCTTGGCATATATCCCCTGGGCACCTTACCGGAACACTGTGTGGCCCTCCTGGACCGGAGGAGGGTGTTGGAGGCCCTGCGACGCTGAACACCTGCTCCATGTCTATCAGTGGGCACACTCCCACCACAGGTGTCCCTGCCGCCCATAACCCCAACACCCCTGCCTTGGCATCGGTGCCGCCCTGCGTGGTGTTTGTCGCTGCCAGGTCCTGGGGAGGCAGATCGGGGAGAAAGGGGTTAGTGGGCTGTAGCTGCAGTGGCGGTTCTGCCAGGGCAGGGCTGGGGAGCCAGCCGGCCAGTGGGACGAGACCAGTTCCAGTGACCCTCTGCCTCCTCTGGCTGCATGGCCAGGTGGTCCTCCTCTTCCGGCTGGTGGCAGCAAAGCCACCGTGCTGTCTCCCAGGGGAGCCCTTCCACGAACTGCTCAAGGACCACCTGCCCTAACACCTGCGCTTCTCTCTTGGTCGCTCAGGTCGTAGCCACCTTGCCCCTGAGTTGTGTGGCCTCCGCTGTCGTGTAGCCCCATCCCAAAGGCCAATCTTCCACTGCCATCTGGCTTCTCCTGAACCACTGGCAATGTTCTTCTGGTGAGAGGCCTGCCCAGTCCAAGACATCCCTGGAGGTATCTGCAAAGCTCCCCTGACTAGCGCTAGGCTCAGAGCCCCCATCTGTGCCTCCCCCAAAAGCAGCAGCCCCCAGCACCCACTCCACCGCAGGAACGTCTGTCACACCGTGTTGACCCGCTGAACTGAAATATGGGTCACTGGTTTCCTGATCCTCCTAAAGTCCACAGTCATTTCCTTGTTCTTTGTTACTGCAAGTGATTCCACTCACTCCACATGACAAAGGAGTCCACCACAGGTTGGTGCATCATCTCACCAAACCCACTAATGCATCCATCCACCACATCAGAAAATCTTTGTAGATGGCAGGTCTCTGTACAGTGGCTGAAGTCCAAGGTGTAGAGCAGGGGTCTTGAACGCCAGTCCTCGAGGGCCGGTGTCCTGCAGGTTTTTAGATGTGTCCTTGATCCAACACGGCTGATTTAAATGGCTAAACTACCTCCTCAAGTGTCTTGAAGTTCTCCAGAGGCCTGATAATGAACTAATCATTTGATTCAGGTGTGCTGACCCAGGGTGAGATCTAAAACCTGCAGGACACCGGCCCTCGAGGCCTGGAGTTCGACACCCCTGGTGTAGAGGGTGAACAGGGGATAGGGTAACGGGGGAGGACGGCCCCTTGTGGTGCCCCGGTGTTGTTGATCAACTTGTCAGACACATAGTGTGGTCTTTCTGCCAGGTAATCTATAATCCAGCGCATGAGACAGGCATGGCTGTTAGTTTATCACTCAGGAGGACTGGTCTGATGATGTTGAATGCACTGGAAAAGTACAAAAGAAAAAATGACCTTCACAGTGCTCACCTGCTGTTCCAAGTGGCATAGACATGATTGAGCAAGTAATGGAGTTCTGAACTCCGAGGTGGGGTTGGTAAGCAGATGTGGCCTGACCATAGGTCAGAGCTGATCGAGGATCAGCCTATCCAGGGTCTGCATGATGTCTTAAATTAACGCCACAGATCTGTAAACCTGCTGCGTGGCATCTTTGGTACAGGAACAAGCAATAACAGCTTCCACAGCACTGGGACCCTCTCCAGACTGATCGTAAACAGTTTATAAAAGACTCCACAAAGCTGGACAGGAGGTAGTCCAACTCCTGTTGGATTTCACATACAGTAATAATAATAATAATTGAGGGCACAGGTAGTTACTCTCTGAAAGCTGGGCAGGGCAACACAAGGTCCCTAGTGCCTAAACAGGATTTGCTTGTGGAAGGAAGAACAGGCTTAGCGTTGCCAGTGCTGTGAATGTCTCTGACCAAACGATCACAAACAGAATTCATAAGGTAAGGTCCGATATCCTCTACTGGGCTCCGCGCTCACTGCGCAGCACTTTGCCATAGAATACCAGAATTGGCAGGTCAGCCACTGGCAGGTTCACCCGGGCATATGTGACAGTGGTGACACGGTCTGCATGACTGGTTTGGTGGTAGGCCAGTAAAGATCAAAGATTTGATACCATTAACTGGACCCCTGACCAAAATCCAACAGAACACCCCTGGGACATATTGCTTCGATTCATCTGAAACATCTTCCTTTTAGCAGTTAACATTTTCCAGCAGGAACAAGAGCTTCATTTCTGCAGAGGAATCATTAAGCTGAGTCTTTTCAGGTCTATCATCATCACTCTCAAATGAACCTGCTAAACTTGTAGAATTGTTTGTAAAAGTCCAGGACACTATTTCCACAAATGATTTTAATGTACAACAGCAGTGACATGCAGTTTGAATAAATGTGTTAGCTACTGAAATATTTCTGCCTCAGACTGTACAGTTTAAATATGTCAGTTGTTGTGTCTCTGTGGTATTGTAATGCAAAACATGAAATTATAAAAAAGCTCTAATAATATGCAGAGGAATAAACACAGTAGACCTTCACATATATTTGTTGTATCTCTGTTTGCTACATTCTTAAAATTAGCAGGGTAATACTGAAAATTCAGGAATTCAAAGTAGATAGCCGTCTCGCTTCAGGTGTAATAGGAAAGCAGTTAGCCTAAAGCAGCAGCTAGTTTCCTTTCAGTTTGAACCCTTTACCCAATTTGAAGAATTATAAAGGAGAGCAAGGACCCACTCCTATCTTACACCTCTCTTATTTTGTCTGTCCTTGACTGTCACCGTCCACTCACCTTCATCACAGTCTCAAACATGGGGAGGAGGACGAATTTGATGAAGCCAGTCTGGGCTGTTGACTTGGTGACCTTTTCTCTGTCCATGAACGGAGCCACAGGAAGTCCCTCAGCCTTCTCCCTGTCACTCTGAGCAGCACAAACACATATTTTCCATAAGCAGCTCACTTTTTTTGTCCTCCTACTAAAGTAAATGAGGCTAGACTTCAAGTGACTGCAGGTGTCTCATTGTTATTTATTAACCTTGTGTAGCATCACAGCTAACCAGAACTTTCTGTGTACAAATGAAACAGACTTTGGAATGCTGCCTGCTTGTATTCAAATGCTCCTTGACTGCTATACCTACCTGCATGAAGTACTCCTCCAGCAGGCAATCGACCCAAGGCTCAGCCACCTCCATGGGCCGCACTTCATTGGAGATGTCACAACATTTGATAAGTACCATCTTCAGCTGCAAACAACACAGGGTCAGAGGGTCGAGGCTACCATGAATGCTGATGTAGCTAAGCACATTTGCATATTTTTCAGTAATCTTTTCCATTGGACAGGCTGGGGAACGAACTAATCTTCTCTCTCTCTTCCAGTTTGCTCAGCAAAGTGAAGCAGGAGTTACCAATCACATTATTTTCATTTTACTGTCTGTCCTTGCAAGACTGATACTTTATTTACTAACTGTCCAGTTACTGAGTTTTCCACATTAATCTTTAATTCATGTGTTATAATTCATGTATTTGTTGGTTGAGATTAGCTGATCCTAACTGTAGGTGACAGCACCAAGATTTATTTATAAATGTGTCCTTACGCAGGCAACATGCTCCTTATTTGTGTAGTCAAAGTTGTCAACTTTCTGCTTGAAGGTTTTTAGGATCTCACTGTGGCGTGCCATGTCTGTGGCCAGGATCAATGTGATAGTTTCCTGATAAACAAGACAAAGGAAATAAATCATCAGTATAGACACGGAGAACTCAGTGTCTTATGCTATTTTCTGTAGATGTAGTTTAAGATAAAGAGCATGGTGTGAAATAGTCTTAATTAGTCATTTAAATCTAATTTTGAAACAGTTGGATGTAAAATGTGAATTAAAACAAAATGCAAATTGTAAATGTCATATTACCACAATCTAACATTCACACATATTCATAGATGCATCAGAGGACAACTTGGGGTTACTATTTTGCTCAAGAATATTTAGCATGCAGACTGGAGCAGCCAGGATTTAAACCACCGCCCTTCTTATTAGCACATACAGTAACCCGCACTACCCCCTGAGCTACAGTCACCCCAGCCACTAGGGACAGCCACAATGTCCATAGCACTGAGAAGCAAGTAGAAGGATGGCTGAAGAACACTGATAGATGTGGATTACATGGGAGTTTAAGGCCAACATGGCCTGTTCCCCAGGTTAATGTAGCCCATGACAGTGCATGCTGTCCCATTTACTGTACTGAAAGGAATGAAGTAAAAGATCAACAAGTACCTTAGCAGGTGGCTGGGAATCTAGATCTAGAGAACTACAACTACCCCTCTCACTGAAAGGTTGAGTGGAAAGAATATCAGGTTATCTTGACTTTCAGAGACTCAAGAGACATGAGGTCAGAGAAGCAGGGATAAAACCCAGATCGAACAAAGATGAAGGCCTTGTACATCACTGTCCCAAGCAGAAAGAGTCCTGAAGCACCTGTTAAATATTTTGTGCAGGGTCTCATCAAATAATAATATAATTATTTTTGCCATTGTAGTGCATGTATTAACCCAAACAATACTTCTGTTTCTGCAGCTGCACATAAGTACCTGTCGTATCTGTTTAAAGGCCTCAGGGTCAAAGTTGAAGAATATGTTGCAATCAGGCTGGGAGAAAATCTGGAAGGCCACAGCACAGTGGTGGTTCTCCAGAGGAGAAATATCATTGTAGCGAAGGGCCATCTCCGTTCTAGCGTTGATCTGATACCTGCGGAGGGAATTATGACAAAGAGGATCAATAAGAGGAGTGAGAGGCACAGGGACAAACGTGACAGGAGGAGAGAGACTGAAGACTGAGTTAATAGAAAATTGAAAACACAAAGAACTTCCTGTTTTAGTTTGAAAGGTAATTGTCTCATGTTCTATGGCTGTGTCCCAATTCAGGGTCTGCACGCTTGAAGTACGCATTTTAAGTGTGATTACGTCACCGCCACGCGACGACGGCTGTCCCAATTCGAAGTGTACTTCAAATGCATACTCCAAATGCGCCGTCGATTTCCCCAAATATCAAGCGTGGTCCGGTGCACGCTTCGTGGTCCCATATATCCCACAATTCATAGCGCGGCGGTGGGTGTGGATAATTTTGCCGCAAAATACGGCAGATGGGAGCGGCCGAAGAGTGAACTGTCAAAAGTAAGTACTGAATATGATGTCACTTATTTATGTGCGAATGTTTAATAACGAAGAACAATAAAAAAAAATTGCCGTTGGCCACATGTTGGCAAAGTTATGTGACATTAGTGATGTTTGTACTTTCAGCATTAACTGTACACACACACACACACACATATTTATATAAAAAAAAAAAAAAAAGAAAACACCCAGCTCGCCCCTGCGGGCGGTTTTATCTTTCAAACTCGGGTCCTCTACCAGAGGCCTGGGAGCTTGAGGGTCCTGCAGTATCTTAGCTGTTCCCAGGACTGCGCTCTTCTGGACAGAGATCTCCGATGTTGTTCCCGGGATCTGCTGGAGCCACTCGCCTAGCTTGGGAGTCACCGCACCTAGTGCTCCGATTACCACGGGGACCACCGTCACCTTCACCCTCCACATCCTCTCGAGCTCTTCTCTGAGCCCTTGGTTGTTTCGCCGTCATTGTGGATGTTGGGTATCAAAGAATCCATAGGTCCCGCATCCTATTCATGTAGCCCCTTCCGCCGGGGTTACTTGCGTAGTTGCATTCCAACAACGCCCTGTTTTCGTCTCTTGCCCACCGATGCCTTCTTGTTCCAGTAGCCCACTTTTCGCCAGGGTGCCCTGGTTCCTCAACACCTGATGCGGACCTTGTTGATCCGGGCGACGTCCGAGCCGGCATGCCTTCATATTTATCTGTCTCGCTCATGTCTGCGGTAGGCTTGCTTAGCATAGGGGGTCTAGCCTTAGGACCCTAAGGTGCGTACTTATAGTACGCACCGTACGTAGTACACGTAGTGCGCGTACTTCAAGCGTGCAGACCCTGAATTGGGACACAGCCTATCCCATATGAAAAAGATATATATAAATCTTATAAAGTTTTTATCTGTCTTGTATGAAACTTGTATGAAAAGCATACAAGAGTGAAAACACATATAAGATCCCTTGAAAAATTATATAATGAAACTTGTATGTTTTGGATACTTACAAAAAAATATATGAAAGTAATGAGAAAGTGGCCACTTTCATGAGTTAATCATATATGTTTTTACTATTTCTTTTCCATATGGGATGTCTCATTCCCTTCTCAGCTCTCTATCAGTGTGTAGACTTGTCTTTTACAAATTGTTTGTACACATACCTGTTATTCTTTTTTTCATCCTCTATCCTGTTACTACAATTATTTGTGCTATTTTGATGTAGTTTTTTTTTTTTTTAATATTTCTATCCCTTTGACTTATCCTCTCAGTTTAATACTGCACCTCTGTTTGTCCTATTGAATTGATCTGTTGTTTGTGTAACCGGCATGACTCCAGTGTCTGCATGTATTTGCTCCATGTGATCAAGAATAGAACGGGCAAAAAAGAAGACAGATGACACAGAGAAGCACCATCTATTGCTGCATTTCTGTGTCTTTTCTTACATGTTGTTGAATCCAGGATGATCGAGGTCATGACACACAGCAGCTGTCATGAGAGCCAGAATCTCCATCTGAGTAAACTTCTCCTAAAACATAATATAAACATTGGTTTTATTTTTTTTAAAAAAGTAAAACACCAAAAAGCTTTATTACTGGGGAAAAAGGTGTACATAATCCAAAAGTAAAATTCTCAAGGGCAAGGGAGGGCTGACACACACACACATATATATATATATATATATATATATATATATATATATATATATATATATATATATATATATATATATATATATATATATATATATATATATATATATATATATATATATATAGGCTTCCACAGCCTCCCTGAGCCTGGTTCTGCCAGAGGTTTCTTCCTGTTAAGAGGAAGTTTTTCCTTCCCCCGTCACCAAAGCACTTACTCATAGGGGCTCATATGATTGTTGGGGCAACTGTTGCTGTGATTTGGCGCTATAAAAATAAAATGCAACTGAACTTAACTGAATTAGATAACTGCAATATAACCATAATACCATAACAAAAAGACAACATGTCGAGATTTCAGAATACAAAGCTATAAAACAAATATAAACAAAATCAGAGAACCCCTAAATATCCCCAAACTCTAAATCCTGGGTCAACGACCCAAGGGCCATGACGGGTACAGCGGAAGAAAACTCGTGGTAAAGTCTCTGAGAATCACATTACCTGAAGGCTGCAGAGGCAGATCATGCTGTACATCATCTGGGTGACACAGAAACAGTGGCGGAAGTTGTGGTAGGGGTTATTCCTGTAGTTGTCATGGATACACAGCTACAGTGAGAGAGAAAGCAGCAGTTTCATCACAGAAATTCCCTAAACATAAATATTAGCTTTTGGAAATTATTTCTTTATTTTCTGTTCAGGTAAGGTTTATTTTATAGAAAAAAGGTAGAGCCAACTGTACGGGGTCAAGGTCTCACCAGCCATCTTTTCAGTGTGATGGGATTTATATTAAAGTCTCTGACCAAGCCCAGGTCATGGTACATATGTTCCAGACAGCTCAGCATCTGGACAGCAAAGGAGTTTGTTAGTGCAGAGTATAGGATGTTATTTTTGGCTTATTCTTAAAATTCAACAGATGTTACTGTCCTTTAACAATTTTAACATAAAACTAAGTATAAATATATAATTATGTATAATTATATAGTCATTTATATTATTATTATTATTTTTTTTAAATGAAGTGCATTTGTTTATGTTTTGGATATATTATTATTATTATTATTATTATTATTATTATTATTATTATTATTATTATTATTATGTTTTCAGGCATAGGAAAGAATTTTGATCTCAAGTTTTACCATAAAATCTTCTGCTTTGGACCTGATCCAGGGATGTTTACTGTCCTAGCATAACTGACTAAACTTCTGTAAAGCAGGTTACATTGTTGGAAACATAGGGAACATCACAATCAAAATGGGAACAAGAAAGATTTATTAAACTGCTCATCCCAAGTAAGGCACAGTTCTAGTCAGGTGGTGATAACTCTGTGGACTTCTCTTTAAGTGATAATGTCCGTCTACTTTCTTACTTTAAGCCATGACTCAAAAACAAGTGCTAACTAGTTAACAGTCAGAAAACTGTTAAAATCACATTCACTGGCTAATCACCCATCATTGATAAATAAAATAATCAATGTATTAATCTCACCTCATTGGGCTCCCACTGCCAAGCATCAAACGTAGGCAATGTAAGAGCTTCCATTGTCTCCTTAGACAGATGGCACTTGACACACACACAAAGGACAACAGGACACACAGGAGTCACAAAGAGAAGAAGAGAGGAGAGACACATATTGTGGGTGATGTGGGTTCACTGCCTCCACAGGTCTGCTGTGACAGCATGCACTGCAGGCAGCTGATTTGCAGTTAACCCTGTTTACATCTATCTGGCTTGGGGTGCATAGTAAGTAAGCATGGATCATAAATACGATCCACACTCATTATACTCTTTACACATTCAAACTAAGAGACAGCGACTCTATCCTGATCAGTGTTAATAAAGGTGGCCAATCTCTGAAAATTAGACACATTAAATTTTGTCTTGACAAATTTCATCTCCATTTGTGGATTTGTGATTTGAGCACTGTGGAGGTGTGACGGACATAAAATGGAGTAAAAGCCTTACTTTGGGGTCAGAGGGAATGCAAGGACTCCGCTTCTTGTTGTCATCCAAAAAATTACTGAAAAGGAAAAAAAACATCACAACAGTTTATGTCTGTAATATTAATCATAATACAAAAGACCATTTTATTAGCATAACCTTCATCATTTACATGAACTCCTAATTATTTCTGTTAGTGTTGCTGCTCCATGACATTAAGTCAGAGGGACAGCTCTGTCACGGTTCTGGGTCATGTTGACCCAGCTTTCTGTTTTTCATGCTTTGGTGTTTTTCTAGATTATGATTTATGATTTGATTTATCAGTGATACTGTTTTGATTATGATGATTATTTAGTAGGCTTTGGTCAGTGTCAAGTCTGTCTCTCTCCGTCTAGTCCGTGTCTTAGTAAAGTGTGTTTTGTTTCCTGTTTTACTTTGAAGGTTCTTGTTCCTGTCTGATGTCAGTGTTCCGGCTTTGCTCTCCCTGTCTCGTTAGGTCTTATTTCTCCCAGCTCTGTCCCCCTTCTGTCTCTAATTCCTTGATGACTCCCTCAGTGTATTTAAGCCCAGTGTGTCTTTGTGTCAGCATTGCGTCGTTAATGTCTGTTCACCTTCACTTGCTCTGTGTTCATGATTTCCAGTCCTCCTGCATCTCAGTTTAGAGTTTTGTTTGCTTTTGTGAGTTTTTTTTATCTTGATGTTTTGTTCCAGCAATAAAGCTGCATTTTCAGTTGAAACCTCGTTTCCTAAGAATCCTGCATTTTGGGTCCACCACTCCTGCCTGCCACACAGCCGACCATGACAAGCTCAGGTTGAGCAAATTGGATATTAAGCAAAAGAGGCAAGTTTGGATGGTTTGTCCTGAAGGAGGACATGCAGATGATTGGTGTGACCATGGAGGATGCCAGGGATCGGGTAGGGAGAAGGAAAATGATCCACTGTGTTGACTTCTGAAGAAAGCAGCTAAAAGAAGAACTGTTGCTGCTACATGTACTACTATTAAGGTTAAATTAGCCAAACAAATTACAAATAGTAGTTGACTGATTTTATAATGACTGATTAATTGTTTTTAATTGTTCCAATAGTGCATTAACTATCACCATCACTGGGCTTAGCACACTAATACTAATGTGTCATCTCAAAGGAGCAGAGAATTCATTGTGTTGCTGTTACCTGTTGTTTCTGGATGCGATCTCCTCACGGAGCTTCTTGATGTCATTGCGACACTTCTCAATCTCCATCACCTTCATCCCCTCCACTGCAGACAGAGTTATTCGTTAAAACCATGCCAGACCTGTAAAGTTAGCATTTGCAAGGTATTGTGTACAACACTTAACTTCAGTGACCATTCTTGCTATGAAGGATTGCAGCAACATGCTCAGTCTATGCTATAGTTTACACTGACCTTTATTCATATGAGGGAGCACGAGCAAAGGAAGAGCATTTCTGAAATAACTGTATCGCTCTCTTTATAACAAACTGAGGTTATTGTACTCGGCCCTGAAAATCTTAGAAATATGGTCTCTAACCAGATTCTTACTCTGGATGGCATTACCTTGGCCTCCAGTAACGCTGTGAGGAACCTTGGAGTCATTTTTGACCAGGACATGTCCTTCAACGCACATATTAAACAAATATGTAAGACTGCTTTCTTCCATTTGCGCAACATCTCTAAAGTTAGAAATATCCTGTCTCAGAGTGATGCTGAAAAACTAGTTCACGCATTTATTACTTCCAGGCTGGACGACTGTAATTCATTATTATCAGGAAGTCCTAAAAACTCACTGAAAAGCCTTCAGCTGATCCAAAATGCTGCAGCAAGAGTCCTGACAGGGACTAGAAAGAGAGAGCAGATTTCTCCTGTTTTGGCTTCCTGTTAAATCCAGAATTCAAAATCCTGCTCCTCACATACAAGGTCTTAAATAATCAGGCCCCATCTTATCTCAATGACCTTGTAGTACCATATCAGCCTATTAGAGCACTTCGCTCTCGCTTTGCAGGCCTACTTGTTGTTCCTAGAGTATTTAAAAGTAGAATGGGAGGCAGAGCCTTCAGTTTTCAGGCCCCTCTTCTGTGGAACCAGCTTCCAGTTTGGATTCAGGAGACAGACACTATCTCTACTTTCAAGATTAGGCTTCAAACTTTCCTTTTTGCTAAAGCATATAGTTAGGGCTGGACCAGGTGACCCTGAATCCTCCCTTAGTTATGCTGCAATAGGTGTAGGCTGCCGGGGGATTCCCATGATGCATTGAGTTTTTCCTTTCCAGTCACCTTTCTCACTCACTATGTGTTAACAGACCTCTCTGCACTGAATCATATCTGTTATTAACCTCTGTCTCTCTTCCACAGCATGTCTTTATCCTGTCTTCCTTCTCTCACCCCAACCAATCACAGCAGATGGCCCCGCCCCTCCCTGAGCCTGGTTCTGCCGGAGGTTTCTTCCTGTTAAAAGGGAGTTTTTCCTTCCCACTGTCGCCAAAGTGCTTGCTCATAGGGGGTCATGTGATTGTTGGGTTTTTCTATGAAGCGCCTTGAGGCGACTTATATAGCGCTAAATCACAACATAAATAAAATTGAATTGAATTGAATTGAATAGAGACAGAGCACTTGCAGAGGATGCACTCTCATATCTTTCATGGAGAAATCTTGAGTTGTGTTTTGCCAAAGTGTGATGTTGAGAGGTCATCACAGTCAGGATTTAATGAGGTTTGAACAGCTGTGTTTAAAGCCATAATTCATGGTATGCTCTTGATGTCCGCCCTGCTGAGTTGTTCTGCTGCTGTTGCATCAAAAAATGGCAAAAACCTTCACTTTGTTCTGAACACATGATTACATCACTAAGATGCCCTCACAGTGCAGAAATCATGCATCACAGAGTTAGTGAGCTTCATTAGCTGCTCTGAATAACTACTTTAGCTTTATTTGCAATACAACAGAAAAAATGTGTTTCTACCACTTTGATCATCTTGGATTCAGAAAACAGACACAGTCTTTACTTTTAAACTTTACTTTTTAAGTTTCAAATGTACTTTTTTTGAAAAGCTTACAAGCTTACTGGATCACGCAATCTTGAACCCTGTTCTAGTTATGCTTTTATGGTTTTTTTCTTTGGTGTTTTTTGCATGCTATGCTAATAAGTCATGTGGAACTTTATGGTGGTACCTTAATATAAAGTGTTAACACACAGTTAATAAAACAGGTGTGATAACTACATTTCCTGATTTACTACTATTTTGTATGTTTGTTGCACTTAAATGTTTAGATTATCAAACAAATGTAAATATCAAAGATAGCACAAATAAACACAAAATGCACGTTTGTTATCGGGAGATTATAGCCTATAATTATAGCCTTGCTTGAATCACTGCAATCATTGCTAAACAACGACAGAATAAATGTTCCTGCTGGTACTTACTTTAACAATAAACTCCTATATTATAAAAGATAAAAGAATAAGAAAAGTAAGACGATCACAACATTCATTGATCATATTGCATAACTTTGTATTGCCTGCCAAGACGCCATCAGACAAGCTGGTCAAACTAAGTCTAGCAGCACGGTGAACAATTCGGCAGCCTCAGAAGTGCAAAGTTCCCGCTTGCACTTAATAAAATGGTAGAAGCTTGCTAGAGGAAATGGCATTGGTGCATGACCTTACATTGGATGTTGTGTAAGTATAAAATGACAGCACACACTTTTATACTCTGAACAGGTCAATGTTCAATAGACTCTAATGATCTCACAAAGTTAACTGCCTCCCAAGGTGGGTTAGCAGACCACACACACAGTGGGGCATCAACTTATCTAATCACAGTATCATTAACTGTAGAGGAACACAACTTCAGACAAAATGCATTGAAGGTGCTCGGTTACCTGTACGCTAATGTGCATGAATGAGGCTGAGCATTACAGTAATCTAATGGTGAAGTCTTTTCTATAGTTTTATACCTCTATTGCAGAAAGTTGAATTTTAGAAAATCTAACTACATAATTTGACACAACACCATGATCTGATAAATCTCCATACAGAAAGAGGTTCATGTCAAACCTGTTTTTAGCCACAGAATTCCAGAGAATTGCTATGACATTTGAGAAAACAGTTCATTTTGCAAAACAATCTTTTAGGGCATAGGTGTCAAACTCTGGCCCGCAGGCCAAATTTGGCCCGCAGCCTAATTACATTTGGCCCGCGAGGCCATACCAAATTACTATTAGAGTTGGCCTACTGGTATTATACAGCTAATGTATATATTGTTTAGTATTAAGCTTTGCTTGTTCCATATTCAGTTTTTCAGCAAAACGTGTTTGAGTCAATAAGAAAAGATTCATTCTTATATCTGGAGGAATAAATATATTTCAATAAATATATTTCAATAAATATTAACGTTAGCCCGCGACTTTGTTCCAGTTTTGAATTTTGGCCCACTGTGTATTTGAGTTTGACACCCCTGTTTTAGGGGGAAAATAAAAATGAAAAACGTATAAAAACCTGGTTGCATAAATATGCACTCTTAAACTAATGCTAATAATGTGTTTTTGCAAAAGGCTGTCAGTAACAAAGTGCCTAAATAAATAATTTCAAATTGTTTCTTTGCTCAATTGTCTTGGGAGAAATTCCCTTGAGAAACAGGCGAGAGATGAGAAACTGCAAGTCCTGTGGAGTCGCATTAATAAGCTAAACTCGTTTCTGCTTAATATTTATTTAGTAAATAGACATACTGTAGGTGTAGTAATAACATCAACATTTTATTAGTATTTAATCAACATTCGCCAAAAGAGTTGTGAGAAACGAGCATATTTTTGCAACATTTGAAAGACTACTTTATAGAAAATGCTATAGTCATGTTACTTGTAGTTTATTTACTTCATGTGTTTTCAGGGTTTTTTCTTGGTTAGTAAGAGAAATCTAGCCTGTTTTTGAGCTTGGACAATAGTGTATTAAAGCCATGTTCAGTATCTGAGGTGGAAATGCAAAGCGTGTCACATGAACAATGAGTAAGCTTCCACATCTTTCATTCTTCCATGTTGTTTTTAACATTTTTTCCAGGCCAGTCCTCCTCACAGCTGTCTGCTAGCCTCTGTCACCATTTTCTGCCCCTACAAAATGTAGGGGTAGGACTGTGATTCGTTTCTCTTGCCCAATTATTTTTTTTCTTTCAGTTACAGATGCCTTCTGTGTGTTATTTTTTTTCTCTGAGCATATTAGAGGGACAGTAAACACTTTAATAATCTCGTAACAGAGAATGACATGACAACTCCATCAATGGAGGTGTAAATCTCAGTAAAAAGTGTAGCCTCATGAGCAACTTTTCCAGCTCCATATCAATTAGGTTCTGATATTTCTCTGTGTGTTTAGTCTCATAATGGTGATTCAAATCATAATCATTAAACACAACAATCTGCTCTCCACAAACCAGATGTGGGCTTCTAAATAAATAGAAGTCCATATCTGGTTAAAAATAGAGTACAAAATAATGAAGGTCAAAACATAGACACCAAAAACTTTCACACTTTAATGGAAACCATGGAACTTGGAGGAACACACAAGGCACACAGCAAGAAGAAGGATGTGACAGAACAGAGGCAAATGGAGGTCATCAATACACAAGAGGAGGGCAGAGTGAAGACAACTGGGAACTACAGCTGAACTCAGTCTAACTAATGAGACAAGGAGACAATAGCTCACAAGAGGACCTATCAAAATAAAACAGGAAGTAATAATCCCTGGCACCAGGACTAAAACATACTAACCTGACAGAACTAAACAGTGAGCACAGAGACAGGGTGCTAGCTAACCAAAGCACAGGGACATAGGGACACAACAATGGGGACAGAAAGGGATACAATCACAGAGACAAGACTAAGATGGACTACACAAAAACAGAAACTAAGATCATCTTCAGAAGAGCACAGAAAACAAAACTAGGGAACAATCTAAAACTCCAAAGTACAAGATATAGAAATAGATCATAAATCATCTCAAATCCTAAAAGAAACCAAATCATGAGACCACAACATAAATTGAAAATTCTGGGACGAAGACCCAGAACCATGACGGTGTGCTGAACACTGGGGGAGTCAAGGTCTCTGTCTAAATAAATAAATAAATAAATCTGGGTAAATTTCCAGATGATTAAACATGCAACTATTTTGCTGATAATAACTGAAATGAGTAAAGAAAACCAACAGCCTATTTATACAAGATAATTCATAATTTTATTGGGGGGGCTATATTGGTTGGGTTTGATTATTGCGGGGGTCACAACCCCCCTAACTCCCCTGGAAATTACGCCCCTGTGGATCCATGAATAGATTTATCAGAACCTGTCTCAGTGGATGAGTGACTGAGAAGACGTCATTCTTTAGGAGTGGAAACATCGAGAAAAAAAACGACGGAGCCTTAAACAGGGATTAAGAAGTGAATATAAAATATGTACACTTACAAAATAGTAAGTGTCTACAGCCTTTTGTCACGGTGGAGGCTCAGTTATGGTTTGATTTAATATCTCAGAGGTGTTTTACTGGATTTAGTTTGTCAAGTGTGAGTGCCAGCCAGCGGTGTTAGGGCCTTCATCTTCCATGACCTAAAGCATGTTCTTGGCCCGTGATGTAAAGTGACTTTGACATTCCTGTGCTAGAGTAACTGCCTGTGTCCTGGAATTCCCTCCATGCTGTTGAGACTGTGCTGGGAAAGATGCAGCAAATTTTCTGATAATGGCATGTTTTGATATCTGCTTGAGGCTGTGCTGGCAGACATAAACAAAAATACTTTGAAAGACACAGCAAACCTTCTGGTAATCAGAAAGAATCAGAGTCAGAATCAGAGTTGTGTTTATTGGCCAAGTATATGTGCAGACACATACAAGGAATTTGGTTCCGGTAGATGGTGACTGTTTTGCTCTGTGATCCTGGAGGAGTTGGGCTACCAGACTATACAGATGTCCAAGGTTTGCTCTGAAGTATTGCACTCGTCTTGTGCTGGGGTGATGTGTGTGTGTGTGTTCAGTACCGCGACGGCTTGTCAAAAGAAGCTGGTCCTGGTTTGGATGAATGTGCAGCATCTCCTAGAGGGCTGCAGTTTGAACAGGTGAGATGCAGGATGAGTGGAGCGTTAGACGGTCTTCTTACAAATGCTATTTCTTCTGTGCACTGTGAAGTATTGCAGACACTGCTGTGCCTTCCTGATTATGGAGGAGGTGTTTACAGTCCAGGAGAGGTTGGAAGAGATCACGGTGCCCAGGAATGTGAAATCCTGAAGTCTCTCCACAGGGTCATCATTTATGTAGAGGTAAAGGTGGTCTGCTCTGTGTCTTCTGAAGTCCAGGATCATCTCCTGTGTCATTGTGGTGTTCACTGTCTACTCAACACAATGCAGACAGATTCATTACATCGTCTCTGTGGCAGAGTCATCATCATCACCTGCAAACTTCCCTATGGTCTTGCTGGTGTAAGCAGGTCTGCAGACAGAGGTGTAGAGGCTGTAGAGCCATAGGCTCAACATACACCTTTGTGGGGAGCCAGTGCTCAGCAGAGGAAAGGTGTGGACTGAGTTTGGAAGGTTGCTAAAGAACCAAGAGCAAGTGGGAGGGGGGAATCCCAGTTCAGACAGTTTCCTGACCAGGATGTCAAGGCATGAGACAGTTCTTCTGCATGGGTCTGCCCTCTGAAGTAGGTGATATGCTAGATGCCCTGCCACACCTGCCGAGAGGGCGAGAAGGTCCTCAGTTCAACTCCACCATCTGGCCGGGGCCTTTCTCTGTGGCGTTGGCATGTTCTCCCCGTTTTGTTTTCTCTGGGTACAGTCCACATGCAGGTAGTGAGATTAGGTTAACTGGTGATTCTAAAGTGTGTCTCTCTCTATGTGTTAGCCCTGTGTGAGGTTGGTGACCTGTTCAGGGTGTACCTTGCCTCTTGTACTATAGTAGCTGCAATAGGCTCCAGCCTACCTCTGTTCCCATCCCAAGAAGCTGATCTCAGTGTCCCATTTGTTTAACTTCATCTCTGTCGCTGAAGACGTCTGTGGAAAATTAACTGGAACCACACTGGTCAGGACTTCCTCCCAGAACAGACAACAAATCGATCATCACTGTCTTCCTGTTCCAACATATTTTCCAGGTCAGAAAGTCTCGTTATTTGCTAAACACATTCCTCTCCGCACTCAGTCAAGGGAACTGTCTCCCAGTTTCACTGGTTTCAGTCAGTCATAAATCCCGTCACATGCATCTCAAATTACCCAGAAATATGAACATTTGTAAGTCTTGCAATGTATCGAGGGTTAAACCAGTCTGTTCCAGCCGTCTGTGACCTCTGGCCACTACCTGCCTACTCTGTGATGAGGTTACTGGATGTTTGGCCTGTCTCGTGGACTGGGAGGGGTATAGTCCAGAAGAGAGATCCTGGGTGCCTCGGCCATTCAATTGAATTTATATAGCACCAAATGACAAGAGTGCTGCAAAACACTTTATATTATAAGACAGAGAACCAACAATAATAGAGAGAAAGCCCAAACAATCATATGACCCCCTTTAAGCAAGCACAGTGAAAAGGAACAACTTCCTTTTAACAGGAAGAACCCTTCAGCAGAACCTGTTGGAGGTTTGTCTCCCAAATCCAAAATGGGGCTATAAACACATAATGTGTCACTTTCTATGTGACATATATGATCATTGACTTTTCGGTGAGTTGGCTATAAGTCACGAGGATAGTGATGACTAATCAAACACTGCATTCCTTTTTCAAATGTGTCTTTTATATCCAAGATTAACAGCTGATGACGGAAGACAGTAAATGTGACTGTAGAGTGGTGGGAACGAACTTACGCTCTACTCTCTTTTCCAACATTGTGAGACGGTTGGTGACCTCAGTCTTCAGCTTGTTGATTTTGAATGCCCTGCAGACACATGGAAGTAGGTGGGAAATAGGAAATGGAGAAGTTGTTAATGAAAATGGAATGGCCACCATCTGGGACTCTAAACCAAACAATCAAAATCAAATCAACAATTAACAGCTTCTAAAAAAGTCACTAATTAAAGGTGAAAATCTGCCACCATCCTGGCTCATTTGACCCAGCGCTTTGCTTTTTAATCTATTTTGATATTTATGTTTAAGTTCATGCAGTTATCTTTATCTCATCTATTTTGCCTAGTTTGCCCAGTTATAGTTTATTTTCTATTAGATTCCTCTTGTGTCTTCGGCCCTTGTGTTTATGTCCTTGTCTCCCGTCTTCTCCTCTTGTTTACATGTTTTCCCTCAAGTCCCTTTCCATCCATCATGTGTGTGTTTCCGCACCCATCATGTTCAGTTTGTGCGTGCTTATGTCTATGTCTCATCTCCAGTTCCCTTTTTCCTCTGTGTGTATTTATAATGTGCGTATTCCTCGTCAGTTTGTTATGTTAAGTCTGTGTGTCTTAGACTGTCATGTGTCATGTGTTCATCTTTCCTCTTTTATTTTGAAGAGGTCTGGTGTCCCATGTTCATTGTGTTTAGTTCTACTTCCCCTGTGGCATCATTATGTTCATTCCACCCAGCTGTTTCCACATGTGTTTGCCCTGATCACATCCTGTGTGTCCTTGAGTCTGCATTTATTCCTTGACTGATTGTCTGCTATCCTGCTATGCTCACGCCATGTTTTCCAGGATTTCATGTACTTATGCCAAGTCTTCACGGTTCATGTTTTCATATTCACTTTCAGGGTTTCTTATGTTTATCCTTAGTTCACCCAGTTTAATGTAGTGTTTAGTTTTGCTTTCGGCTCTTGTTTTGTACAGTTAAAACCAGCCTGTAATAAAACGGCTCGCTTTCAGTTAATATTAAGCTTATTTCCATGCTTTGTATTGTTTGCTTTTGTGTCCCCTATTCTCCACTCCACACAGTCTCCTCACTGAGACAAAGTCTCCCTTTCAACCTGAAATTACACTGTGGTGTCATGAGGACAAATAATTGTGTCATGGTCCAAATACTGATACCGAACTGCACATTCCTGCACTGCTCTACTCCATATATTTACTTCTAATGTCTACAGTAAGTATATCTTCAAAGATTAAGGTGCTTCAAGATTTGGCATGACTGCTCCAGCTTGACAGTTCATAAAGGAGCGAGGGAGCTCATGGAGAAGCTTAATGATCAATGAACAGTTATGTTTACACATAGTTTTTGTCTTAGTAAGAGCAAGAGTATTTATATTCTTGTGAACGTGTTCACATTAATCCATATCCGTTGTTTATTCATTTTTGGCCTGTCGCTGTATTTTAACTCTTTCAGGTGCCCGTCTTCATACCTCATCTGTCATAAGGAAGCACATGCAGAATGCTATAGATACATAAACATGTTATTGTATTAAAAATGTGACAGTAAGTCAAATAATGTTAAATATTCTTCTGCTCGTCTTAAAACACAGCAGGTGCAAATTCACTGCTCACAGCAAATTTATTTTCAGACATGAAGATCCTTTATTTCAGCTTCAGACTTTGACAAACCACCAAAGCTCTGCTCTACTGCAGAATTACAGCACTAACAACACTGCGTAAAGGTTTCATTGGCTTGAAAATGACATGAGAGCAAAAGCAGCAGAATCATCTGTGGAACAAGTGAAAGTTCAAAGAGGCAGATACGGATGAAGAGATACGACGACAACAACAGATAACTAGCAGTAACATTAACAAGTTGCAGCTGCTGTTAACTCGAGGTGGGGTTATAGCCTCGTTGAATTAATACAAAGTGAAGAACATGAAAGAAAAGCCACAGCAGTTATAAAACCGACATTTTCATCATTCTGTTTCAGGTTTTGGAGATACAAGGTTTTCTGTTTTCTGGACAATGCTCTACAAAACCCCCAAGCCAAGCTAATTGAAAGAAGGAATATAAAAGACGGTGTTAGAACAGAGTGTAAAGAAACCATTTACAGTAAATTTAGACTGAAACATGCGCACTCACCTATCTGCTTACTTTGAAAACTGCTCTGCTGCTCGCGTCAGTACATTCTGAAAGAGTTCCTCTTTATCTGAAGAGAGAGTAGGCATGGAGCGGTGTTACGTACTACCCCCTCCCACCCCAGCCCCCCCCCACACACACACACACAGACTGAGGGCTTAGTGTAAACAACTTCAGTCCACTCAGGGAGAATATTTCATTGTGAATACAAAATGCAGCGAGAAGAGCTGTGCATGAATATTTAGGATAAATACACACTCTCTCTTTGCGTCATACAGGCACGAACACACAGAGATTGTGTAAACCAGTCACAGAGGCCAAGCAACAAAAGGCAGGGGCAGAACAGATAAATAAAGTGTGTCCTCTTCCCTTTGGCTTAGCTGTTGGTGACTAACATAGTGTTTGAAGACAACAGAGACTTACTGACAGCTTAATGTGTTAACAAGCCACTTCTGATTCCTCTTACCGCACAGTGGGAACAAGCAGGATGTACAAACAGAGTCCTGTTACTGCCTTAAAGCTCCAGCATTGTGGGCAAAGTTCAAAGCCACAGGCCAATAAACTAAGCGCTACAAGAAATTGTAAAAAAATCCACTCAGGTCATTGCAGACAGGAGACTTGTTAACAGCATTGCTCTGTGTGCTTAGTTAAACTGTTTCAGCTGAAGTGATTGGAAAGACGCCTCAGCTGAAACATGGTGGAGCATGCGTGTCTAGATGAACCCAGTGTTTAGTGTGTGTGAGCGAAAACTCAAACACACTGCTTCATCATCGTGTGGAGACAGTCACAGCTCGCGCCATGTCAGGGGTGACAAAAGATGTTAAATGAAAAGATCTTCTGTAACGTTTCATCAACATCTCATGTGTGAGCACAACAGTAGTTTATTCCAACAGTTTCACACGTGGGCTCAAGTCGCACAAGAAAAGCAAAACTGACACTTTTTTCACTCGTCTGCTGTGGGACTCAACCTCTCCACAGCACGAAACACTCGTCAGCTACAGCAGCAGAGATGTGACTTAGTGGCCTTATTATTATTTTTTTAAGTGCTACTAAAGTGGTTAGTTATTAACACAGGAATAACACACGTGTGACTCCATATTGTAGTGGTTTGCACATTTGCCTAACAGGCAAAGAGTCAGTGGTTTGATTCCAGCCCCAGGTGTTGTGGTAGGAAGGGCGTCTCATATAAAACTCTGCCAAACCACAACAAATAGCTGAAAGCAGCTTTTAAAAAAATCAAATCTGCAGGCAGAATGCACAAGTTTCAACAGCATATTGCACACTTTGAGCTGAAGCTGCTTTTTAGCAGTGAAACCTTAGTTTTAAGTGTTTTTATTAGAAAGTTACACATCACTTTGATGTGCACAGGAAACTGGACGTATTTGTACTAGATACCTCTTAGGTATCAGTTGCTAAAGCAAAATTGTGGTGTGAGAGGAATTTTATGATGCTTTTGAATTTTTTATTGTCATTGCACGTGTCACAAGTACAAGGCAAAGAAATGCAGTTCGCATCTATCCAAAAGTGCTTTAGCCATGATATAGATATATTACAAATATATATTAGCAATAGTATAGATATATAAATACATTACAGAAATGGGTCTATTATGGTATGTAATAGTGTACACAGTAGGAAGTTATGAATATGCTATAACTGTAAGTATGTACAGGCTGTAGTGGTGTAGAAGCTATGTACAGACTATGAAAAGGATATAAATATGAAAACTATACAGAAATGTGATGTGGACTCCCAGGAACTTGAAGCTGCTCACACGCTCCACAGCCGTCCCCTTAATGTGGATGGGTGGATGTGGGTCAGCATTCCTCCTGTAGTCCACGATGAGCTCCTTGGTCTTCTCGGCGTTGCATACAAGAGGAAATATGAGGATGAGGAAGATGAGTATGACTCAGAAATGGATGATTTTATTGATGATGGAGGTGAGGTGCAGGAGGAAATTTCTAAGCACATTTCTAAGCCTCATCTTCGTCATTGATGAGGCCAATCACCGTGGTGTCATCTGCAAACTTAATGATGGTGTTGGAACCATCAGCAGGTCTGCAGTCGTGGGTGAAGAGGGAGTAGAGGAAAGGGCTCGTCACACAGCCTTATGGTACACTGTTCATTGTGATGGTAGATGAGCAGCGGTTATCCAGCCGGACATGTTGGGGCCGGTTGGTCAGGAAGTCCAGTAACCATTTGCAGATGAGAGAACTGATGCCCAGGCCTGTCAGTTTCCTGATGAGTTGTGAGGGGAGGATTGTATTGAACGCTGAGCTGAAGTCTATAAACAGCATTCTGGCGTAAGTGTTGTTGACCAGCTGCTCTCAGCACTTTGTGACGATGGGGGTGAGTGCTACTGGGCGGTAGTCATTGAGGCTTGATGGGTTGGAGTTTTTGGGTATCGGGACGATGGAGGTGGATTTGAAGCAGGCCGGTACCACAGCAGTCGTCCTGGATGAGATTCTGGCAAACTAACTCAGGAGAGGAAAACAGTCATAATTCATAAGTCAATGAATTATCTGTCTGTTACTTACTCTGTCCGAAAGAAGACTTACAGGTCTAATATTTATGCCCTTCTTGTCTGAAATTCCCAGTTTTTCCAAAGATATCCAGTGGACCAGTTTGGATACTTCGGTGGGCCAGCCCCGCTCTAAGGTATCGGATTGGAAGAACGGCTTTCTGAGCTCAACGATGGTGATGAAGATCAGTTATAGAGTGGATGCATTAGTTCACCAGTCAAGGTGATTTTTCACTTGTTTTTCCATGAACACAGTAAATGCAATGATCATTATTATGATATTACCACTACATTGAAATTCCAAAGAGTGCATTTTTACCCTCTTATTATTAAGAAATTAATAGGTAAGTATGGAACAGCTAGGAGAGAAACCGGACGGTATCGCTGTGTGACGGATATTTATGCATGTACAGTCCTGTGGAAAATTCTGAAACTGCTCTTTTCTGTTTAGTTTTTGTTTCCAAGCAACCAGACCTTGCAGCTTTTAGAGTAAAGGGCAACTTTGAAAAAACAACGATATTGCTTTTTCACTTGTTTTCAGTCCAGTACCTGACCGTCCTTGTACCTGACCATTTCCAGTGGAATTTGTTTTTGTTTGTTGATCACTGATCTATGACATTGTGCAAAAGTCTCAAGTCTTTATATTTAGCCAGGAAAATGGGAAATACTTTCAGCAACTTATTGAAACATGCACATATACATATATGGACATATATTATATCTCTTGGCTGGCCTGGGAAGTCCTTGGTGTTCCCCTGGACAAGCTGGAGGAGGGAGGTCTGTGCTTCTATGCGTGGGCTGCTGCCCCCACGACCTGGCCCCAGATAAGCGGAAGAAGATGGATGGATGCACAAATATTCAGGGATATATTGTATAGAATACAAAAACAGAGTTTGTGGCAACAAAGTTTAAAAGTCAATGTTTAGTACGACCGGCTGTATTCTTCAACATAGCTTGAACTACCTCAACCAAGCTTTGTGTAATTTACTGTAATTTATGTGAGTAGTCTTCAGAAATCGTTCTCCGGGCTTCCTGAGAGACATTCAAAGCTCTTCTTTGACACATGACGTCGTTTTGTTCTGTTCTTCGTCAAAACGATTCCACACTGGTTCGATGGTGTTGAGGTTGGTCTTTGGGGAGATCGCTTGTAGAGCTCCATCGTGCATGTTTCTCTTCAGTTATGCTTTCTCTGTATTTGTGGTGTGTTTGGGATCACTGTCATGCTGACAAAAGAGCAGTTGGAAAAACAATGTTTACCAGGCAGTAATGCATGATGGATCAAAATCTGACTTCACTCTTCTGCACTCATAATTCATACAAATTTGAGAAGATCCCCAACAACACCGGCTGAAATGCAATGCTGAAACACATTCATAAAATGACTCAGGCATAATATTCAAAGTTGACTTAAAGTGTTGATTTAGTATTTTTTCAGATTTTCTGCACATTTTTTCAGTCCACTGCACAGTGATTAGTTCTTATTTAGTGTTTGGTTGTGCAAACTCTACAGCTTAGTTGTCCCCGCCCTCCTTTGTCCTCCTGTCCCCCTCCCCTCCAGTGAGGAGGTAAACAGTTTGATGGCGTGTGGGACAAAGGAGTTTTTAAGTATGTTGGTAGTAGACTTTGGGAGAAGCAACCTGTCACTGAACAGACTCCTCTGGTTGTTTATTATGACCATATGCAGAGGATGCCCAGCATTGCCCATAATTTCCATCAGTTTCTTTGGTGTCCTCTTCTCTGCCACTGTCGACCACAGAGCCAGCCTTCCTAAGGAGTGACTCAGAGGAGATTCCTGATATAATTCCAACCCCACCTTTAACCCACCTCTCATTCCTACCACACCCTCACATTGTCTCGCTGTCCTTATACATGTCTTGCACCACCCTCACATATTTCTCTGCCACTCCTGACTTATGCAGTACCATCATTCCTGTCTTGGCACCTATCATACTGGCTGTACATGTATTTGCTAAACCCCATCATATTTTCTCCATTATTGGTGGAGTGCCCCACTGCAGGAAGAGTCCTAAAGCCTGACTGGGGCCTGTCTGTGTGGAGTTTGCATGTTCTGCCTGTGACTATGTGGCTTTCTTCCGAGTACTCGAGCTTCCATCCACAGTCCAAAAATATGCACAATATGTAGATTTGTCTTTCTAAATTGGCTATAAATGTGATGTCACATGCTTAAAGTGTGTAGAATTAAGTAAAACAATTAAAATAAAAAAAGTGCTGATTAAAATGTGATTTTCAGTCTTTAGCAATGGTCAGTAAGACTAGAAAAACACTAAATAAATGCAAGTAGATTACAGTACAAACTACAGTACACTGGAATCTTTGCAGCTCTGAGGGGGAATAAGTAGTTTAACTGTGACAAGCTGCACCAGACCAGAATTTATATCGTGCGTATGTGAAACATGCAGAAGAATAAAAGTTTGGGATTTTCTTCTTCTGTTAGTGGCTTCTGACACAGGTGACACTGAAAATGGCTAAATATACTTTTTTTTTTAAAATCATTGAATTTTTATTTACATTTAACCTTTTGTATTGTTTATATTGTCTATTTTGTTACTT